TCACGAAATTAGGCATAGGCGGACGTCGGCACAAAAATAAATATTGTCTTTCTCTTTTATCTTATGATCCATGTAACGTCATGTTCTCGAACTTCGTATGCTGTCCCCATCGGTGGCGTCATGTTCTGAGAAATTTCCAGCTTTTCACAATGCGTAGTTTATTTACGCTGGTGGAAGAACCAGGTCTCGTTTTCTCCATCAAACCTAGTATATCAGCTGCGCTAATGCCGAATTTGTGTGAAACACAAATTAAAAAGTCATTACTGCACTTTAAACCGCGATCATGATACTCAATTCTCACATTTTATTTTCTCAAACATTAAAAAAAATATTTTTATAAAAATATAAATATATTGCTTTCTGAGGCGGGCGGAGGGGAAAGGGGAGGGGGGAGGGTAGGGGATGGGAGGGAGTAGGGGCGTAGCTCAAGAAGTTTCACTTCTGGCAATGACTTTCTCATACTGCATTTGATGTGTTTTATTTTTCCACGCAAACCCTTCTAAATTGCTTTAAAATGGTATCCCCCCCCCCCTCCCCCGCCCCAGACACACACCTACACCCAGGTCGACGTGAGAGGTGATACGACGACGAGAGGTGATACTCGGAAGTGCACTAATAAATGCTATTACTCTCTTCTCTAAACGCGTGTTTTCGGTATTCCCGTTTCTCGGCTACGTGGTGACACTTTTTAGGCTAGGGGGCGAGAGTCGCCGCCCGATTCGAAGAACCTTCACCTTTATTTATCCTCCCTATCTATCCCCCTTTGTAGATACACGGCCCCGTCGCTCGATGCTCGATGGCATCGCTCCATTTACCGTTGTCTCGTGCGGGATGAAGAGCGTAGTATACGTTCTTCGTAGGCCGAAGACACCTCGAAGCGCCTGAGGAACTGATGCGAATGTCTCTTCCATCATCGGACTTGAAACAGTAGATAGACCATAGACGTCACATTGCAGTGTACGTTGCATTCCTAAGTGAAAACTGGGAGTCAATAAATAAACCACGAGCAGATGAGCACGGTATGCTCAGAGTGGGGAGAAATAGAATGGGAAAGACTGCCTCCTGCGTACACTCTAAAAAATCTGGAGCGTCCAGTTTCTCGCAAAGCAGCCAGGAGAGCCAATCCCTGCAAAGTATATGGAGGGAGCTCGCTGATTGACGAGAGTGGAAATATGTTTAAACATACAATGATAAAAAAAGCTGTCTGCGTTTTGACACTTAGCATGACGTAAGCACGCGGAACGTCGTGCAGTTACACAGCGAGCGCAGACTGTTTTACTTTTTTTTTTTTTATATTTAAAATCTATTTTCAGCTTTGTCTTTCGCCGAGCTCTATCCGTAGATCGCAGCGATAAGCTCTCTCAAGCGCTTTGCAGGAAAGCAGACGCTCCAGATTTCTTTGAGTGTACCCGCCTTTATGCCGGGTATACACTCCGTGCGACGCGACTGGCGCGCCGCCGCGCGGCCGGTACCAAAGGTAGGCAGTGAGAACCCCAGAGAAAACGAAACCGAAACCACGCCGCGTATACTCATTGAAGTCGGAGTGGTGCGGTTGCGCCATCAATAATGTCAGCTGTCAATAATGACGCAGCAGCCTGTGCTGCGTCGTTATTAAGTGCTTCAATAGTTATGCGTCGTATCTCGTGGAAACAAAGTTTCACAGTTTTTCACTTCGCCGATGTTTTGTGGGACAGCGACAGCGATGGACTCGTGCCGTACGACGCGAGAAATTTGGTCTCCCGATCATGTTTGCCACTGTGTGCGTACGGCTGACATATTATACACTGCCGCTTTGCGCTGTGCGTTTGTTTTCGTACCAGTAACGCCTACATGTGTTAGCGCCGATGGGACGAACTGAAATGCCATCCCACACTCGCGGGTATGCAGTGCCAATTTCGTTGGAGGAATGCCCTCCAAAGAAGTTTCGTCATCATCGTACGTGTCGATGATATTTCCGGACAAGTATGACACGCAATCTGTACTTCATCAAGAAAGATTCGAACGGTAAAAAAAAAAAAAGTGACACATATGAATCTAATGAAGACAACAATGAAATTCGGAATCACTGGAGAATCGACGTTTGAGTATGGAAGTTTATGTGGTGTGCTTTCGTTCTTGATCAGCCTCCTTTTTGGATGTGGAAACGCTGACACTCCGATTTCTGTAGACAGCAATTTTTTTTTCTCGGCTTTCTAGCCACCTATCGCAAAGTGGTTGGAATTGGAAGTACCGCCCACTGGTCCCTTCCTATCTGTAAAGTGTGCACCTCCTACGATGAGTGGTATTATCTTGACATCCTTTGACGGTCAAAACCAGTTCCCATTTAGTTACGCCGCCCAAACTAAATTTCCACCTGGTTTTGCTATGCCAACTCTTTTTGGTGAATAAGTGTTGCGTCAAGTTACGGTCATGTCAAAGTACCTGTGCGCCGAAAATCAGCACCTCGCACAACAGGTTATTACACAACTGACCGCAAAAGCCCTTGACGGCCAAACCGTGTGTTGGCCGAAAACTTTGTTTTCTCGGCTTTGGAACCACCTTTTGTAAACGTTTTTCGATTGGAAGTACAGTCCACTAGTCTCTTCCTACCTGTAAAGTCTCCACTTCCCAAGACCAGTGGTATTCTCTTGACGGCCCTTTCATGGTCAAAATCGGTTCCCATTGAGTTGCGCCGCCCAAACGAAATTTCCACCTGGTTTCCCTGTGCCACCTCTTTTTGGTATAATAAGTGCTGTGTCATGTTACTGTCAAGTCCAAGCACCTGTGTGCCCAAATCTGCACTTTGCACAGCCCGCTATAACACAACATTTTGGGTCCAATATTGGATATCCAGTGCAGCTTTATTTCTTTATTCGTTAGAAACATAACTTTCACACCTGCTGTCTTAATAAAACTTGGCACACTTCGTGCACAAACTTAGTGAACATCTCACTCGCCTCCAAATGTTATCGTTCCAGCAGCCCTACGTTTACATCGACGAGCGAAATAAATTTCCCACTCAGAGCAATTATGGTGGCGGCCGTCTTGCTTTTCGGAAAATTGCTCCAACTCCTTTCTCGGCCGCAACTAGAGAAATTAGCCCTAATAACGACTCAAACTCGATATATAAGAAGTGGAGAACAGCTAAATGCCCTTCTGCCCCAGCACTAATGCAATGTCACCCTCAACGTATTGGCTCAAAAAGCAAAAGTTGCGTCCGTGCGCGCTTCCGCCGCCACAGCTTGGCATGCGAAAAGGCGCCGCAGGCTGCTGAACGCGCCTCACTGTCGAACGCCAGCTCGTCCGCTAGCGGCGCTGCGCGCGTTTTTCAAAGCGCCCCCTATAGTTCCCGCACGGAGCGTATACGTTAACCAGTGTCATAAGATTTTTTTTTTTGTTAAAATTTTTTTGCGCTAGTGAGGTAATTATCTTTTGCATTTCACTAGGTAGCCTCCTGCACCTCGTTTCAAACAAGTGTTTATAAAAATTAAAAAAAAGGATTCTTCCCGGTTTAGTTATCACCATCATCAAAAATTAAAAAGAAATTAGGCTGCGACAAAAAAAGTAAGAACAAAAAATCGCACTTTAGAGCCGCGGTTTATGAAGAGAATGCGGTTTAGGGACGTTTTATTCCTGTCTTTATTTTGTTTTAGCGTGCCTTCAACAGAGTAGAGTGCAGAACGTCATTGGCATGGTAATCGCTGAAACGCTACGGATAGCCTTAGCAGCGGGAATGATGAAATTTCTGCTAATGCATCGCTAGGGAGTTCGAAATATAATGCGACATGTATGCCTTGTCCGAGCGACGTACTGAACACCACGAATTTAATTTTTATAAGCTCGGTCGAAGATCAACAAGAACAAGTTTGATGTCCAAGAAGTTAGAGCCCCGAATGCCTCTTGCACTTACATAAATCGTAATCAAACGTAAACAGTTCGTTTTTGCCGAATGTAATGCCACGTTTACGATAAAAAATAAAGTTCGTAGCGGGAAAAGTATTGTCAGCGCATTGACGTTTGCAAGGCGCCACCTCAATTACACGGAGTCTCATTTTTGATTATTTAGTAACGTGTTCAGGCGAATACCAAGCAAATGCGTTCTTTTGTTACATCAGGAACACAATTATTCCAAGATTTGTAAGTGTCGCGCTGGGGGAACTCATGCGGAGGTTCCCCCTTTTTGTTTTCTTCTTTTAATTTTGTATATTGTGCGCTGGTAATGCAGCATGCATCGTGCATGATCTGAAATTTATCCGAAGCGCAAGTTCGTCTGCTTCTGGCGGAGGGGTTCCGGTGACGTCGGACAGCCGAGTTCTGGTTGGCTCTGATTGGAAAAATAGTGGGTAGAACTCAACGCTAGCTGCTTCGGAGCCAATCAGAACTCGGCGTTCTGACGTCACTGCAACCCCTGAGCAAGTAGCAGACGAACTTGAGTTTCGCATTGTCACTGACGGCTTAAGAAACGCAGGGCGTGGCTAGTCCCAAGTAGAGACACTAAATGAGCTGCGATTAGAGTATCGCCACTCTGCTCCCCGACATTGTTGCGGGCGCCACCATTTTGGTGCTTGTGCAGAGCAGACGCAACAGCCGATCGTCATGATTCAAAAGTGCGACTCCCTCAGCATTAGGTTGAATGTTAGGAAGCTCATGTAATATTGCTTTGCTCTGTTGCGAACTGTTTGAACATTTGTGGAGGACGGAAAAAAAACGTTTCCTGCAAGTTCAGGCAAAAAGCTTCAGATAACAGGCAACCATGAGTTTAAGTCGCAATATGGGCAAGTGTCATTCGTCTGAAGCGTAGCTAATTTAGTGGAACTAGTCCCAAGCATCTCATTATCGTTCAGGAGCCAATGAGATTGTGGCATTGGCAGGTAAGGAGGCCGAAGAACCAATCACGAGGCAAGAATCACGAAACGTACTTAGCCACGCTCCGCCTTTCTTAAGCTGTCGCTGATTATATAATGAAATGAAAGGCGAAGGGAGGTGAGTCTTGCGATAGGCCTCGGGTGGTCGGCGGTTACCCTCCATGCTGGCGTTGGCCACGCACAGGAACCCGCAAGTCACCAGGACCACGAGCAGGAGGAGTTGAGGGAGACTCATAACGACCAGTTTCCTGCAAAAAGAAAAAAAAAAACAATTGACAAAAAGTTTGAATGTTGAGCTATCCGTCGAGTACTTTGGCATGTCACAATACATTTTGCGTTCTGTCTGCTTGGAGGACGCTTTTGCAATGTCATTATAGACTTCAAGAACCCGATCAGAATCGACGATTCTGAATTCTAGTAGTCCGATAAAGATCCTGTTAAAGGAATGCTGAACCGAAATCTGGATTACCCAAAACACGCGGCATAAGCGTGCAACGGGATGCTACAAAAACCAAAACATCACTCATACAGCGATATCTCGAACGGATGACCGTATTTTTCAAAAAAAGAGGCGCATTTGGCACGAATGTTGACGTCATGTTTTTCCGAGAAGGAGAGGGAACGGCCTCCCGTCTTCTCCGCCTCGCGGCCTTGAGGGAGCGAAGCGAAGAGAGGAGGAAACAAGGTATCTTGACATCACGCGCATCGTACTTCTGGTTCAATCGCGGCTTCTTTTTGCAAAAATACGGCCGTCCATTCGAGATATCGCCTTACTAGTAGTGTCGTAGGGATTGTAGCGTCCCACCTACATCTCCAGCATTATTTTTTAAAATCCAAATTTCGGTTCACCATCCCTTTAAAGTAGTGATTAAATAATTAACATTTCAGTGACTTGACTTAAAATACATTTATATAATTTTTGCAGTCAGATCTTACGAAACAGAGTTTAGTGCTGCTCTTTTCTAGCCACCGTTGTACGACTTTTCAAAGTGCCACTTAAACTATAGTTACGCTTATTTCTAGTGCTTATATTGAAATAGGCATTGAACATTCCATGATCGTCTTTCGCAGCAATTTTTAACGCGATCACGTTAAGGAGCACGTGTCGCAGAAAAGCCGGCGTCGGTGACGTTGTGGCCTTTGATTCGCATTACATGTCATTTTTTTTTCAATCATTTTCATTCCACGCGTGACGTGACGTTTCATGTGAGCGTTGTGGGTTGTTTGAAATTCCCGCGCGAGATCATGCAATTGTGACGTCATGAACCTATCGACCAATCAGGAATATCGCGTCCGCGCTTTTTATGTCACGCCACTGACGCTTGCTTTTCGGCTACATGAGCTCCTAACGCTATCGCGGTAAAGAAATTGTTTCTCCGGCTGTAAAGAAAAAAAAAAAAAAGAGAAGTTTTTAGTGACACGCGATGCAGACCAAATTCATCGTTTTTAGTTCCCTCGGTGCGGCACAAACTCAGCCGTTGTGAGACAATATTGTCTCACGTAAACTCGCATTTAGCCCGCCTATTAAAAAAAAACAAGAAAAAACAACAACAACAACAGGAGTTGTGCAACATTCGGATGCATGCCAAAACGTGGAAGGTAACAAACCTTTCCAAGGCTTGATACGAGAATTCTTATATCTTTCGTACGAAAGCAGACACACTTCATTTAGCTTTACTCGTGTTCTGGCTCTAACTTTTGGATATCTCGTGGCAGCCTGCCCGCAGTTGGGAAACCAGCTGCAACTGAATTATTTGCGGCAGCCGCAAAATTGGTCGAGCTTTTAATAATGCAGTAACTTGTGTATTTTACAAAATAAAAAAAGTTATACACGGCATGTTTCTGCGTGAATATGCGCACCAGTGACCTATCCGACCGATAAATTGTTGCGATGAGTCAGTCTCATAACGAAGTGCGTGAATTAACAAAAGCAAATCCTCCGATTTTCTTCTTTCGGAATAATTCGGGCATTGCCAATGTCTGCGGTGAATGCCTTGAGTGATGGAAGGAGGCCGCGCATGCCGCTCTTCAGTCTGAGAAACACGGAACGCTGCCGTGGCCGCTTGTTCTGTGTCCAAGCTGACGCGATAAACGATGCTCGTATTTCTGGAAATGCTTTGGCAACTGCCATTGCCTAGAAAGAAAAACTAAGGGAAGTTTTTTTCAGTTATTAACGTTACAGAGTAATTTTAAGTAGTATTACTATTTAGCGAAAGCAGAAAAATCGTTTCATGAATTTAAGCTGGAACGAAGTATAATAAACGCTGCTTTTCGTCGGCTGATAGAGACTGCAACCGCTGTCAAATGACTTCGCATGACGACATGCCCTGTTGCGCCAAGTTGAGCCGTCGGAGATAACTGACCCGTCCATGTAAACATAATATCTTAAAATATAATTACCCAGAACGATGGACATTCTAAATTGTAGAATCACAACCACAGGCTCTATAGACTCGTCAAACACAAAGTCGGAGCCGAAAGTTCGAGGAGCGCGCCGATAAGACTTGGACAACAAAAGCGCGAAGTCGTCGTCGTAAGAGTCCGATCGGCGCGCTCCGTAAACTTTGACCCCAACTTTGTGTTTGATGAATCTAGGACAACAGGGGTGTATTTGAGTTTTGCTGCTGAATACCTTTAATATCAAGGGTGGCACCTGGGCCGGCTTGCCAGAAACAGCGTCTCAGGTAAGACTGGGTGAAAGAGAGCACTACAAAACCAGCGCCCGAGCTGAGCGGGACTCAAACCGCGTCTGAAGACGCTCGCGCGCCCCGGCCTTTGCGGTGCGTTCTTTCACCCAGTCTCAGCTGCGACGCTGTTCTAGCAAAACAGCCCAAGCTCAAAAAAATTTCATGGAGGCACGTTGTGAGAACTTTGGACCGTGCGAAATTAACAGGCACATGTGGTCGCATGCGTGCCAGAGCTTTCGACTAAATTGGGGGTTTGTCTTGCCAACGGTATATCAGCGGCAAGGCATCGTGCTTTGGGACGTGCCTTGAGAATTTCCAGGACGTCTACAGGTATGTTGCTTGCCCCTTGTTTGGTTTCCAAAGTTGAAACACAAGCCGGAAGTCTAAGGAAGGCTCTAAGCAAAGCGCCTGAATAATCTTTTATTACGATTTTGTTTATGTTTCTGTGGCACTTTCCATTGACAATTGAAAGGCTGTATCTAGGCAGGCCAGTAGAATGATCCCGACGTAGCAGAACCGACATTGTAGCACTACACGTATACTATCCCTAATAAAACTGTAGAGGTAAATAAAACTGGTGAGCTTCCTTTTCTTTAAATAACCAATTTGGGGTGTCAAATTTACTCCTCATCAATAATATTCTCATACATGAAAAATTTACGTATGGGATTCTTTAGCCAAATATCAATAACAGTTTTTTTTTGTTTTTTTTTTAAGATTTAAGGTTGCGATTGCAGAGGCGTCTATCAAACCCTTTCGGAGAAAATTTGCATTCTGGCTCTAGTTCGCACTTGACTAAAGCCAGAGGCCCGTTCCTGGTCGAACTCGAGCGGAAAGAATAGGTGTAATATAAATGAAGTGGGGCCTTAAATGCCTCGTTGGGGTACACCTCAAGGAATGTAATGTACTCTTCTTTCTTTAGTTTGCTAATTTAAGAGTGTGCGCTAATAGAAGTGACTTTTAATCCTTCTGTACAGGTGTCCCCCGACGCCAACCTTCTAAGGCGCTTGAAAAATGGTATCTTATAAAATACCGTCAAACGTTCATTGTACACCAAGTTTTCTTGGTGTACAATGAACACCAAGAAAACTTGCGACGATGACTTCTTGGAGTTTTCTTTTCCTTTTTAACGTGGATCTATACCCTCTATACCAACGCTGAGCGAATTTGTCAAAATGGCGGCCTATTTTTATGTCATTTTGGCCATCGGAAGATTGTCCATTTATTCAGTTTCACGCGCGCCTGTTCACCTGCCGACATATTCCGCGAAGGCGTTCATAATTCGCACCCATATCGTTTATATTTGGAGGACTGTGACTAGGGATCGATGAGTTTGCGCAGTGGATGACAGCCATTTCAAACTCAGGAAGAAAAATCAACGCAACTGCATTTATCTTTCATTCACCGTTCAAGCTTCCACCTATTCATTCGTTTAATATATATATGTATATATACATTTTTCACTTGGCGAAGTTTTGTAGAATGGTAGAGCTGAGGTTGAAACATATGTGCAAAAAAAGCAGCCGAAACTCACAGAAGATTCGGAGCATACAAAAATCAATTCCCGGTGTTACTAAAAACAAAACAAAGAAAACGGGGGTATTTTTTTTTGCACGCGAGTTTCAAATACGGTATCGTTAAAAGCAAGATCGCGATTTTCGAACGGGAAATTTCCTCGTGTAGTTAGCGGTTTTCTTTCTTAAAAAAAAATGGCTATTTTTCATGATACAATTTTCGTGTGTTTCTTGGGAGGTGTTTCACACCTGCGGCCCAGCGTTTAAGGGTGCGAAGACCGCTGGTGCTGCTTTAAGAAAATACAAATTCACTCGACTAGGGAACGACACTTGTGGAACTATTATATTTAATTATTTTTATTAACCTATCTTCCGCGGTACCACCGCGTTCTCCAGAACGGTATACGCAACATTTCAAGGAGGCGAAACCGCTAATCCTTTGGAGCTCGTCGAGGAAAAAGAAAAATGAAACCTTACTGCCAAGACAACACGGCGTCTCTGAAAGCACGATTCCTAAAGAAAAAAAGAAATGCTTGTTACGGATGCGAGGCATGGAATCCCCACGTCCTATTCACGTGGAACTTTCTTAAACATTTTGAAACCGACGCTTTCATAAGAAGAACAGGTGAAGCTTATTCGAGCGCTCGCTCCCTCTCCCTAGGGTAGTGTGTTGAGCTGTCAACGAAAACCTCACGAGATCTCGAGCGTCGTACCTACTAACGACCTTTTCGGAGACAGAATCTCAAAAGCAGCAACTGCTCGCCTCTGAAACGGTCTTTGAAGAGGAGAGTGATGCAGCCCATACTGCATTTGATCGATGCGGGAACACACACGAAAAAAAAAATGCTCACATCATTTGCCTGTTTTTTAGTAAAGCGTTTTCGTTTGAGTACGTTTCTTCTTTACGTGGTATGTTTTTCTTCGACTGTATGACGTCCTCAGGCTGAAAGCGGTGAGATCCCTCTCATTTCGTTTTGTTTAGATGTTTGTTCGATATTCAATTTGCTTTCTTCTGCAGCCCTACGAAACTCCGAAAAACGGGGAGGC